TCCTCATCCTTGTCAGATCGTTGTATTGATGTCCTCGGTGTTGGTGTTCCTGTTCTGCCTAGTGTTCCTGTTCTTCGTCGTCGTCGTCATCATCATCGTTGTCGTGTGGTTTTGGGTCATCGTTTCACCGTCACCTCTTCACCGCACTTCTCCACGGATCCTGACCATCGAAGTCCCTGCGTCACTTCTCCACCGGCTGTACTGTGTTCACTATCTCATTTATTAAAAGAGTAACTCGCTTTTGCTTCCTGTGTTTCATCAGCAGACATGACAGAACGATCTGACCAGCAAATGGAAGCAGCGAGTGTGCCCCAGTCATCCCTGGAGGATTTCATTCATCATAGTATTCGACGAATGGACGCTCAGGAGAGAGAGATCGGCGACACGGGTCGCGCAGTACAAGCCTTAGTGACGCAGGTGTCCGAGCTCACCCAGCAGATCCAACGCTTGCGTGTTCCCGCTGCGCCGCCCACACCGGCCGCTGGCAGAGCTGTGTCAGGAGGGAAGATCAGTATCGGATTTTTCTACTGAGTTCCGGACCTTGGCGATTGAGTGCGGATGGAACGAGGAGGCGCAGTGGGACATGTTCCTGCATGGGTTGGCTGACCACGTCCAGAAGGAGATCTACGCCCTGGACCTACCCACCACCTTGAATGGACTGATTGACCTGGCTCTGCGGGTGGACGCTCGTTTATCCAGAGTCGAACGTCGAGCTCAGTCCACCCGTACCTTTGGAGGAATCGACGGTCCTCGGTCCAGTGGCAGGGACGTGGTCAGCCCCAGCTTCGATCCTGAACCCATGCAGGTGGGTCGAGCTCGGCTTTCCCGGGAGGAGAGGGAGAGGCGGAGGTCCAAGGGCCTTTGTCTTTATTGTGGAGGATCGGGACATTTTGCTTACAACTGCCCAGTAAAAGGCCCAGCCCGGTAGTAAACTTGAGGCTACTATCGGGTGCGATCTCCGCCAGGAAGACCTCATCAGCTGTTACATCTACCTCCACGCTCCTCCCGGTAAGACTAAGATGGTCAGTCCACCAGCACGACTGTCAAGCACTATTGCATTCTGGGGCTGAAGGTAATTTTATGGACTACAGTTTTGCTCAAAGATTTCAGATTCCCTGCAAACCACTCACTCACAAGATCGCTGTTAATGCACTTAATGGACAAGAGCTACCTACTATTTCCCTTTCCACTGAAGACATCACCCTCATCACTTCTGGCAACCATTCCGAGACGATTTCATTTTATATTCTGGATTCACCTCTGGCACCCGTCGTCCTTAGACACCCATGGCTTATTCAACACAACCCCCGAGTGGACTGGCATCACAGATCTGTGCTGGAGTGGAGCAAGGAGTGTCATAAGTCTTGTCTCGTGTCTGCCTGTTCGTCTGTGCCTGTGTCTGTGTTGCAGGAGGAAGCAGGGGATCTGTCTAACGTGCCCGCGGAGTACCTGGACCTGAAGGAGGTGTTCAGTAAGTCTCGTGCTGCTTCTGTCCCTATGACTGTGCTATAGATTTACTGCCAGGTAAGTCTCCGCCTAAAGGCAAGTTATATTCACTCTCTATTCCAGAGAGAGAGGCTATGGAGAAATACATTTCTGATTCTCTAGCAACCAAGTTCATTCGCCCTTCCTCTTCTCCAGCGGGGGCGGGGTTCTTTTTTGTGGGGAAGAAGGACGGTACTCTGCGACCTTGCATTGATTACCGAGGGTTGAACAACATCACGGTAAAGAATACTTGTCCTTTGCCGTTGATGTCTTCAGCTTTCGAGAGGTTGCAGGGAGCATCCATCTTCACAAAATTGGATTTGCTTAACGCTTATTTGGTTCGCATTAGGGAGGGGGATGAGTGGAAAACTGCTTTTAACACCCCTAGGGGGCACTTTGAATATTTGGTCATGCCGTTTGGGCTGTCCAACTCCCCAGCAGTTTTCCAGGCACTGGTCAATGACGTGTTACGAGATATGGTCGATCAGTTCATATATGTCTACCTGGATGACATATTGATTTTTTCTTCTTCTCTCCAGGAACATGTGCAACACGTCCGACGAGTGCTTCAGAGGTTGCTTGAGAATGGGCTTTTTGTCAAGGCGGAGAAATGCGATTTTCATGCACAGTCTGTCCCTTTCTTAGGTTACATTGTGTCGTCTGAGGGAGTGCGGATGGACCCTGAGAAGATTAAGGCTGTGGTGGAGTGGCCAAGCCCAGATTCCCGCAAGGCCCTGCAGAGGTTTCTGGGGTTCGCCAACTTCTACCGGCGTTTTATTCGCAACTTCAGCCAACTAGTCGCACCTCTGACTGCCTTGACCTCCCCCAGAACGATGTTCAGGTGGTCGGACGCAGCCGAAGCTGTGTTCGTCAAACTGAAAGGCCGCTTTGTTTCAGCCCCCATCCTTGTCGCCCCTGATTCTTCACGTCAGTTCGTGGTGGAGGTCGACGCGTCGGAGGTGGGAGTAGGTGCAGTGTTGTCCCAACGCTCTCCTGCAGACGACAAGATGCATCCTTGCGCGTTTTTTTCTCATCGACTATCTTCCACCGAACGCAATTACGACATTGGTAACAGAGAGTTGTTGGCAGTTAAGTTAGCGTTGGAGGAATGGCGCCACTGGTTAGAAGGGTCGGGGGTACCTTTTATCGTCTGGACTGATCATAAGAATCTCGAATACATTAGGACTGCCAAAAGATTGAACTCCAGGCAGGCTCGGTGGGCTCTGTTTTTCGGTCGTTTTGATTTTTCCTTGTCTTATCGTCCGGGTTCCAAGAACATCAAACCCGACGCATTATCTCGTATATTTCATTTTTCCGTCTACTCCCGAGTGTATTTTGCCCGAAACTCTATTCGTTTCAACACTCACATGGGAGGTCGAATCGAGGGTCGTTAAGGCCTTGGAAGGGGTAACGCCTCCGCCCGGTTGCCCACCGAATCGATTGTTCGTGCCGGAGAGATTAAGGTCTGACGTTATTCAGTGGGGTCATGGCTCCAACGTGGCTTGCCATCCAGGAGTCAATCGGACTAGATTTTTAGTTAAGCAACGATTCTGGTGGCCACTTATGGCTCGGGACATTCACAATTTTGTTTTGGCTTGCTCGGTTTGTGCCACTGGTAAGACTTCCAATCGACCTCCAGACGGGTTACTTCAGCCACTGCCGGTGCCTTCGAGACCTTGGTCCCATATCGCTCTAGATTTTATTACCGCCCTCCCACCCTCACAGTGGTTTTAACTGTGGTGGACCGGTTCTCGAAGGCGGCCCATTTTGTTCCCTTACCCAAATTACCTTCAGCTAAGGAGACGGCAGTGGCAGTCGTAGATCACGTATTTCGGTTACATGGCCTCCCGACAGACGTGGTTTCTGACAGAGGACCCCAGTTTGTGTCCAAATTTTGGCAAGAATTTTGTAGATTACTGGGGGCGACGGTTAGTTTGTCCTCTGGGTTTCATCCCCAGAGCAATGGTCAAACCGAGAGAGCCAACCAGGATTTGGAGAGAGTGTTGCGATGTTTGGTCTCCAAGAATCCTTCCTCATGGAGCCAACAACTGTCTATGGTAGAGTACGCACACAACACGTTACCAGTGTCGGCTACGGGCCTATCTCCGTTTGAGTGTAGTGTAGGTTACCAGCCACCAATTTTTCCCAGTCTGGAATCCGAGGTTGCGGTTCCCTCCGCTCACGCTCCGCTCCGTGTCTAATAAGCTTGCACCCAAATTTATTGGCCCGTTTGCTGTCACCAAGATCCTTAGTCCGGTGGCAGTCCGCCTCAAGTTACCTCCCGCGTACAGGAGGGTTCATTCCGTGTTTCATGTATCTAAAATTAAGCCCGTGTTTCATTCACACATTAATCCGCCTGCCCCGGTTCCTCCTCCACCGCGACTCGTAGATGGGGAGACCACATATTCGGTTAATCGAATTCTGGACTCTAGGCGGAGGGGACGCAGGTTTCAGTACTTGGTGGACTGGGAAGGTTACGGTCCGGAGGAGAGAAGTTGGGTGCCTGCTAGAGACATCCTGGATCACGCCCTTATCGATGATTACAATCGACAGGTAAGGGTGTCTGGGAACGCCAGGAGGCATTCTTAGAAGGAGGGGTACTGTCACGGTAGATGTATTCTCTGGTCTCTTCTAGTCTCGTGTTTATGTTGTTGTATGAGTGCACGTGCGTGTGGGCGTGAATGATTGGCATTCCTGATCCGCTCCAGCTGATCGTCATCACATCACCAGCTGCAATCAATCTCACAACTCCATATATACTTGCCGCTGTTTCCTCATCCTTGTCAGATCGTTGTATTGATGTCCTCGGTGTTGGTGTTCCTGTGTCCTGTTCTGCCTGGTGTTCCTGTTTTGCCTGGTGTTCCTGTTCTTCGTCGTCGTCATCATCGTTGTCGTGTGGTTTTGGGTCATCATTTCACCGTCACCTCTTCACCGCACTTCTCCACGGATGACCATCGAAGTCCCTGCGTCACTTCTCCACCGGCTGTACTGTGTTCACTATCTCATTTATTAAAAGAGTAACTCGCTTTTGCTTCCTGTGTTTCATCAGCAGACATGACACTGTGTTGATGAGAGAAGTGTATGCGCGCTGTGCACCCGCTACATTATGGCCAAGCATGCGCGCTTAAAATAGCATTATGAACAAAGCGCAACGCGCCACTGACTTTAGACTAGGTTTTTTCTGGTCAGTGGCGGAATTGTTTTCTGGAACTGCAAAATAGCACTAGGGAATGTTTGCGCCGAAACACGCCTCCTTTTTGCGCCGACCCGCCCAGGGAGCGCAAGTTCATTTCCTAGTTTACCGACGTGCGTCTGTGGAGGGAAAAGCCCGCTTTGCGCGGGTGCAAAATAGGAATTATACATGCGTCAGTGTACAAAGTCATTTGCGCCGGGTGCAAGATAGGGCCCATAGAGTTTCATGACAGAACTTTGTATTTATTATTTAGTAAATCATGAACAACTGGAAACGTCTTGGGGCTTTCAAATATTTTTGTGACAATGGGTCAAAAAGGTTGAGAACCACTGTTCTATATGATGTTCTTGGCTCCATGGGATCTCTCATAGTGGTATTTGAATTACAGTACTCATCAGAGCATACTTCTGTATATAAAAAATTTCAAGAAAATTGTGCTTAACAAGGACACGTCTCTGTTGCTGATTCAAGGCAATGCTCTTTTCTGGGCTCTTTTATGTTCTGCACTCAAACAGACTTTCTCCTCTTGCCAAAGACATTGTTGATGAGCTTGGCCATGGACTTGGAGCCACTGTACCGTCTGCGGTCACCTCTATGCTTAAGCTGTTCCATCACATGCCGAATGAGTTTGGTGAAGAGGTTGGAGATATCCAGGTAGTTCTCAGCCGCCGACACCTCCTGGAAGTGGCATTTGTTCTCCTGGGCCAGGGAGCGGCCCTCCTCCTCACTCACTTGACGGCTGTGGCATAGGTCCTGCTTGTTTCCCACCAGGCAGATGGGAACCTCTCTATTGAAATGAAATCAGATGATTTTCTTTCAAGAGAAATTTGCTTTATGAAGAAAACATGGCCATATGATGTATTACTGTAAGCAAATTGAATATTGGTTGGGAATACATTTATAATTGCTACAGTCTAATAATGCTACAATACATGCGGCATTAAATGGTACTGATCTAAACATGTTCACACACTGAGTTTCATTTCTCACAGTGTGTGTCCTAATTGGAACAATGGCATTGGCAGACATTTTCCTCATGTGGCAGCATAGCAAGTGGAACAATTTTAAATAAAATATCAAATGGTCACAATGTGTGAGCTCAAACAATGAAGAAATGGGTTGGAAACTTGCTGCGAAGCTAAAACCTCACTACAAGTACAACCACTTGTTGCCATGTTTTCAAGTGTAAAAACTTTTAAATAAATTGAGGAACTAAAACCACCCATGAGTGATCTCATTGCCCATTTCAGAGTTCTAATGGGCTCCAGATGCCTAGTCTCATTCTCACTTCCTATTGTTTCAAAGGACTTTCAAATGACAAATAGCCAGTGAAACCTAAACCAACCAGACTTTTACATTTCTCTATAAATGTGATGGACTAAAATGGAAAGCTTTGGCCTGCTGGTCATACTGCAGTTATCAAAACCATTGGAGTTATGTACATCGCTGTGGTCTAGTCATAATGTGACCCAGTCTGTCCTTTACAGATGTGCACAGATCTAAGCAGGAAGCCTCTACTCGCTGTTCGGCAAATGGTCCTGGTTAATTCATTAAAGCTCCATCCTCCTATTCCAGTCAGCATCAGACAAAGGTCAAAAAGTCACTGGAGAGACACTGACTCACCCTTTACAGGTTTCTCGACGACTTTCTTTGATCTGCGCCAGGATGTTTTTGGCATTTAGGAAGGACGTACGGTCGCTGATGGTGTACACCACCACAAAGCCATCAGCCCAATCCACCGGTTCCTCCAGGATACATCTGCTTTCTCCACTCTGCCAGGGGACGGGGGGCACACAGAGGTCCAGTCAAAAAAACATGCTCATCTAAAGTCACCGAAAAGCGGACTATGTAATTTCATTTGTTTACAGTTGACTAGTTCTCTACCAGAAGTTTTTGTTTTAGATGCAGTGACTGACTGCTAATGTTGGCTGTTTATAGCACAAGCATTTAGTTACAGGGTAGAAAGGTGCTCATATCAGGACTTCGGTTTTGGAAATCAAAGTAAAACAATAACGGCCGAAGTAAAAGTTCCCAGATGCAGCAGCTGTAAGCTGTGAGGCTCAGTTTTCAAAGGCTTTGCACTGTATACTCTGCTTCAGGGAAATATCATAAATCCCAGCAGAACACAACATGCATTTCCCATAAGAAGCAGGTATATCTGAGCATGTTGCCCTATGGCAGTGTTTGTATGAATGCTAGCCATGAGCTCAGGGTAGACGTTATGAATGTATAAACACAAACCTGCGAGCACGGATCAAAGACTTCTAAGTTCAACTGTCTTCCATCAATGGAGAACCTTTTATGGTATAAGGAGTCTGCAACAAACAATTTTGGATAAAATCCTTGGTATTACAACAAACATGTGCATCATAAAATCTGCCCCCTGAAATGAAGGTGGACCGTTAGATGCTCATATAAAATTCAAGGGAATAAAAGTAGAGACTGAGTGCATGTGATGTGATACACATGTAGTTGGATCAGAGGTGGGTGATTACTGGGAGCTTCGGGAATCCTTGGCATGATTGGATGGATTAGACTTTTGGGAACTGGACAATAGGAAAACACACACCAGTGTTGTGTGTGTACAGGGCCTTTTACAATTAATGTAAATAATGGGAAACATTATGTATGACTTTCTTTCTTCTGTGTAACACAAAAGTAGATATTATGAAGAATTTTTTATCTTTTTTTCTGTACAATGAAAGTCAAAGAAGTCCAAAAACAACATTGGACCCCACTGACAAAAATTTTTTTTTTTTTTTTTTTTTTTTTTTTTTTTTGGCAGAAGAAATTAAGTTGCACAGTGTCACGATTATGTTCTGTTTAGTTGTTCCTGTCATGTCTGTATGAGTTCTCATTAGTTTCCATGGTTACTGATTAGTTAATCTTTGTCCAGCTGTTTCTGTTTAGTTCCCTCATTTACTATGTGTATTCTTCCTGTTCTGTTCAGCACTTTGTCAGTTATTGTTTGTGTTGAACGTGAATGTTTCTCCCGAGTTTGTTATTTAAGACTGTGTATTTCATCATCTCCTTCGTTGTGTACTTTCTATAGCCACCATTCCATGACACACAGGTTTGGAACAACATGAGTAAATAATTACAGAATTGTTTTGAACTAACCCTGTAGAACTTTCTTAGATAAAATAAAACATAAGAACACTGTAAAAAAAAAAAAAAAAAAAAAAGATATCCTGTTAAATTTATAGAAAAGAAAACAGCAGCTGTGGTTGCCAAACATTCACTGTAAAAAAAAATACAGTGACAATATTGCAGGTATTATGGGGTGACATAATGGTGCCTGTATATTTTACAACTTATAGCTGTATATTTCCTTAAGTTATGTTAATTTACCAATCTACTTGAAATAGCCACATGATAAATCAGTTCATTTTAAGTTGCCTGTCCATAAACATGTTTGTAGACAGAGCACATGCTAATATACACACAAAGACATAAGCAACACCATCAGGGTGTGACTAAAAAATTTCAATAAACATTAACTAAATGACACCAAATGTTACATAAACACCATAATGTACACAGTACTCATAACAAAAATAAGAAGAAACTAAATTATTTAATAAAATATCATTTTTTATGTGTCATACACGGACTTCTGGGAATCTACTGTTTTTCAGCATATGGTAATTCATCATTTTTACTTGCAAAAACCATACATTTGACTATTTTACAGTAAAAATTACATATAATGTGATGCTAAACCATTTACAGTTTTTCTCCATATATGATAAGGTAACTTAAAGTTAAGCAGTTAAAAGCTTTTTACTGTAGCTTTTTTTACAGTATAATTCTTCTTCCAGCTGTTTATAATGGAAGTCCTCTTGCAAGCTCCCAGTTATGTTGTTCATGTGAATTATAACATTTAATAATATGCCAGACATAATGCTGAGGCAGATAAACCCCATGAAAACATGAGTAAAGTTCTGGCTGCATTATTAAATATGCATGTGAGACTGTACTTACTGGCATTTGATGCATATTCTCCTATGAACCGCTTGGTCAAAAATCTCACTAAAACCGCTGAGGACAAGAGAGAGGGGAAGATTGATTAGTTAGTTATTGAGATTGATCACCCAGAGTGATGTACTGTACATGACTCATATGACAGCTTGAAAAAGGAAGAGAGGGCACAAGGTCAAAGTCCAGCCCCTCATCAAAGACTTGGCCAACTCTACAGTGAACGCTGGTGCATACTTGGCATAGGAAAAACCGTTACATTTTCTCCATGAGCACACTACCTGGTCTATATTAAATATTTGAGCCATGAAGCTATGCTGGCTCATTGAGTCATTGAAGTCAGGGCTTGAGTTTCCATGCATAAATACACACTCTGCGGCAGCTTCGTGAAAGCTGCTTTCAATCCTTCAGTCATATTTTAACACTTATTCCTTACCAAACCTCAAATCTGCAACAGACCTTCCTTGTTGTTCTGTTCTGCCTTCACCCTGGTCATTTGGATCAAACCCTGATTGAGGACTCCCTCATGACTCCCACTAAACTAGTTTTGGTCTCAGGGGACGTAGCATCATCGTTTCCCAACTACTTAATAGTCATTAGTACAGGTATGCAGCCTGAAGGGCTAAATGTTCCAATGCCGCAGAGTGGAACAAAAAATAATCTTTCGCCAATTTCAGCAATTACTTGCATCTTACAACCATTTATTTTAATTTCCCTCTCAGATGACTTCTATAAGTTAACGATGATCTCACTACGATCTGTTTCAATATACAAAGTCCTTCCAGTGTTTGCAGAGGGCAGAAATAATTGTGTTGTGATACACACACTAACACACCACTCACACATGGATGATTTCCAACTCAAAATGTGAGGACCATGCAACAGGCACATGGGCAAAAAGAGATGCTGTAAATTTTTAGTTAATCTGAAAGACACATATGCATATAAAATGTAGGCTACTATATACAATATAAGATGAGCACTCACCAGATTTACCTGCTCCCTCACTGCCCAGCAGGGCCAGTTTGATGTCATTCATTGTTGTAGACGGTACCCTTTGTTGGCGGTACTTCTTTGTGTCCAAGTGCTTGGACTGTCCCGCAGCCACAACTCCTTACTATTTACTCTGCTCAGTAAAGTGGTGCTACGCTCCCTCACTCTCTCTATCTCTCTTGCTCTTTTTCTGTTACACTCGCAGACGTTCCTCTCTTCTGTCTCCCCTCCCACTACACAGAGTGCCGAACTGCCACAAGGTCAATTCACCATCCCTTTGATATTTAAAAGTTGTTCAGCTAAGTGGAGAGTGAATTTAAACCAAAGTAATCTGTGATCTAATTTTGATTAGAAACTGATTTAGATTTAAGCAATATTGAAAAAAAATATTGGTCACAGTCCAGTAAATGGCACTATTTTCTGTTTTCTCTGTCAACGAAAATAGCCACAAACAAAGCCACAAAGCTCTTCTCAGAGCAACATAATGTTGTTTCGTTTCTGAATAATTTTCTGAATCTGTGTTTTGAGTGAATCAATTTAAATTGAACCGATTTTATTCAAGGTTAATAAAGACAAAAATAAATAAATAAATAAATAAAGTATTGTCGCCACTTAATGGTGTATCAATGTAACCTGCAGAAAGAGTCCATGCAAAATACCCACCACAGAGGGTATTATAGAATAAAATAGAATAGATTAAAGATTATAGATTACCACAGGCTTTTGAATACTTGATTATGAAAAATATGCAATTATTTTTCAAGAGACGGACAGTTCCAGGCAGGTCTTGACTGCATTGCAGTTCCATATCACTTCACCAAAATATTTCAGTTATTTCAAAGGTTGAAATAGCCTATAAATAGAAGTAGAAGGTCTTCGAAGCCTTTACAGCAATTGAGCCAAAACCCACAAAGTAACGTCACTGTTTTTGAACCAGTTCAACTTACAGCTTCGGTATTAGTAGAGAAGCTGCTGCCAACCACTGTTGCGAAAGCCATACAGACTAATGTCTGGCTTTCTCTCTCTCTCTCTCTCTCTCTCTCTCTCTCTCTCTTGTTCTCTCTCTACTGCATATCAATGGCTCAAGCCTCTGTAGCTCTAAAATGACGTTTTGGAATTAGCAACGCAGGCTTGGGATGTGAAAATTATATAGAAAGTAGTAAAAGTAGAATATAATAGAAATTATTTCTACACACAAGAGGGTTTTATGGACAAAAACATGACGAATGTCTTGAAATAAAACATCTGAACAATGTTTTGAGGTGTGGTAACCGTGGTATAAGGGGAATAATAATGCTCGCCCGAAGAGTAACCTTCCACATTACCACTTCGGTGTCCATTATTTCTCAATAATTCACGGCCCATCATCAATTATTTCTTTCTTAGACTAATACGTTTTTGTTTGATACAATAGTGGAATATCATCAGGAATCATATCATGCTGAGATTCCAGAACATTCTGGTGACTTGTATAAGCTCTCTCAAGCAAGTCCCCATGTGAAGTATATACAATATACAGTCTTATCCTGAAATTGAAGTTTTGGGTCAGGTATTTAAAGTGGTTGGTAAAGCTGTCTTGCACCAAGTACGCTATCTCTCAATTATCTGTAACATGTTAGCCCTAACAGCATAGTACTAATGCCAACATATAAGTCGGCCAAGAATGTCAGCCATATTTTGATTGCAGGGATCAATTCTTTTTAAAGAGAGAGCAGCAATCAATTTTCCCTCTTTTCCAGAACAGTTCCAAAAATTGAATGACGTTCAGCCATCCAAACTTCAATTTCATGGGCTGCTACACTGGTCAGGGAGTCTTTTTTCCCGCAGACCTTTTTTTCTGTCTCAGTCTTTTCATTCTTCAGCTGAGTTCACCGCGGTGTCCCATTATTATTCTGTTATGTTTCATTTGATTTTTGTCATCTGAGGACTCACAGACACTTTAGAAATACAAAAGCTCAAAATGTGCCTGGCACCATCATTATGTTGCACATGTCAGGTTTAGTCCATTTCAACACTGAGTATTTCACTTTAGACAGAGTGGAATTTCAAGAAATTAAAGCTAACAATTTTTGTAGAATCAGTGCAGCTTAAAAACGAATATCACTCAAGTTAAAAAAAAGCATGCAAATACCTTATCAACAAGCAATCACTGACAAAGAAAAAACAGGTTTATGAAACAGATGAAAACAGAATGCCTATTATGATTATAAAACAGAAGAACGCTATACATCACTTATATATAAAAGACATGCTTTAAACTAGCCAAGCAGCATGTAGATGTGAATCAAACATAATAAAGACTTGACATTATAAAGCTCCATCAAACCACACAATATTTTCTGATCTGCTCTAAAAGGACGCATTTGTAATATGGCTATATTAATATGGCTTTTCTCTTTTGTGAAACCCTAAATATTGGTTCTATTTAGACAGCAACATGTTATGAAACATGCCATTCATTTACTTGCTCGTACTGTATGGATTGTAATATTTATCTACATGTTTCAAATGCAGTTGCATGTCTAATCACAATCAAAGTATTTCCAAAGGCACTCACAAAAGAGTGGGCAAAAAAATGCCCATTAAACTACAAGAAATCATGACCTCCTTTAAGAGTCATTATAAATGAGTACTCTAAGCTGAAGGGGGGGAAATGAGGCCAGCTGTATCTCATGAGAAGAAGAGGAAAGGGGGATTTAAAAGCTGCCAGTAGAGTTATTGCATCATGTCTGTGTTTAGTGCAGCCTTGTGGGGGCTCTGCTCTTATCCCCCATCTTTAAGAAGGCAATCAGGGGTGTAATCCTGCAGGTATTGGGGGAATTCTCAGAGACCCAGACCAGGCACTGATCTGATTTAAGTGTCATCGGGAAGCTGTCAGTTAAGATGAGCCAGGAAGTGTCTGCTGGGGTTAAGAATTACAGTACCTTTTCAGGGAAACTCAATTTGTTAAGGGGGGGGGGTCTGATTTCTCTGAAGAAAGATGATCACTCTTAGATGGCATCAAAGCTCACTTAATATCTCTTTAAGAAAGTGTTGGAGGAAGATTGTCCAATGTGAGGGCCTGTGAGAGTACAGCAAGAAACAAATTATTCACCTGCATTTAGTACTTATGCCAAACATAACACATTGTAAACTCTTACGTACATTTAATTCTCTGAATTATGATGCTTTATTAGCAATAAAAAATAAAAGTTTATTTTTAGAAACTTTTTATTTTATTTAACCCTCATCCTCTCCTCCCGAACCTGTAAAAAATATTTACTATATTTGAATAATAAATAAGTATAATAAAAGTCTAAGTATAATAAATAATAAAAAATTATACTTATATAAGCCTACTTATACTTATAATTATACTTATTCTTTTTTTGTCCAGAAAGCTTATATCATTTCATTTTTATAATTTCTTTCTATTTTTAATGCATTTTTTAAAAGATATTTTGTGCTTTTTTATTATTTAATATACCTCTAAATTACTAGATTTTATCAATAATTAATTTAATAATTTAAGCACATTCTTCACATCCTTTCACTTAAATAAGCACCAATGCTATATTTTCTAAATGTCATAATCATTTGTTAACAAACAAGTATTCATTATACTTCAATGAGCTCATTGTTTCTGCATTAAATTATTACATTGTTTAAACATTTTACATTTTGTATATGTAAAAGTAAACAATGAGTCCGCACACCAGAAGATGCTCCTAAGCGAGTTTAATAGTTGCTCACCTCGTGTAACGTTTCGGGCCCAAGCCCTTCATCAGACATAAACAAGTGGAGAGACACACCTCCTTATATACAGCCATACATGGTCACATGATCACATACATCCATGATAGAACCAATCAAGTGAAAGCACAATTACATCAGACAAACAGATAAAAATATGTAAGTATATACCAACATTTATAATACAAAAAAATCTATTAAATATATTTGGTAGCTAAAAAAAGGCCTAAAGTGCTTAAGGCACAGCCTAAAAAAAATTTTATTGAAAAAGTATCTCTACCACTGTGAACAATCATGATAGATGAGCCAGAATGTAAATACATAAAGAATACCACAATGGTGTGTTACATATATCAAATCAGCAAAACAATCGCACAACATTTACAAAATTTGTTGAAAATTCTTTTTCATTGACATAAGTTATTTACAGGAATGGCCTCAGGTCAAAGTCTTCATTCAACCCTTTTGGAGCTAAAGTGTCCAGGGTATAAATCCAGAATGCTTCTCTTTTAAGCAACAGACGATTTACGTCTCCTCCACGGGAGGGCTGTTTCACAAGTTCAATGCCACAATATCTGAGAGAAGAAACGTTATGAGAGGCTTGTGAAAAGTGCACCGCTACTGGGCTTTTGATGTCATGATTACGAATGTTTGATCTGTGTTCTGAGATCCTTATTTTCAATGACCTGGTCGTTTTACCAACATAGGCCAAGCCACACGGGCATTTAAGTAAATAAATAACATTTTTTGTGTTACAAGTAATCACATCTTTGACATCATAAAGTTTTCCAGTGCATGGGTGATTAAAGGTGGTGGTTTTATGTGTAAAGTTGCATTGAGTGCAGTTGCCACATCTGTAATTCCCAAAGGGAATAGACTGCAAAAAATGTGGTGGAGTCAATGGTGGAAGATGAGCTCTCACCAACATATTTTTGAGATTAGGTGCTCTTTTGTACACAATGCGGGGTGATGTAGTAAAGCATTTAAGTGCTGAATCAGAGTCAATAATGTGCCAATGTTTTTTAATGATGGATTCGAACTCTCTGCCAAGAGGTGAATATTGGACAATACAGTTAACTCTAGACTCAGAAGTTCTGGATCTGGTGTTGCTGAGACAGTCAATTTGCGATGTATTTTCAAAACGGTTACGTGCTTGAGTAATCCATTCATGTTTGTATTGTCTCTGTTGAAAACGTTTTTCCAAATCAGATGCTTGGGCTTGGAAATCACTATCAGAACTACAGATCCGGCGAATGCGACTAAACTGAGACAAAGGCAGACTCTTCTTGAGTGGAATGGGATGAAAAGATTGTCCATGAAGAATAGAATTTCTGTCAGTACTTTTTCGATATAAGTTAGATCCCAGTCTATTCAAGTCTCTGTAAATAAGAATGTCTAAGAAGTTCATCTTGTGCCTGTCAAAATCCATTGTGAATTTCAAATCGCTACTCTTAGCGTTGATAAAATCATGGAACTGTTTTAACTGAGTCTCAGAACCGGTCCAAATGAAAAAAATATCATCTATGTACCTCCTCCAGTTGGAAATTGAGGGTAGGAATGGGTTGCTTAAGTGGTTCAGGATGATTTCCTTTTCAAAAAGTCCGCAGAATAGGGATGCAAAACTTGGGGCCATTTTTGCTCCCATGCTCGTGCCTGCCACCTGGAGGTAAAAGTCAGAGCCAGAAAGAAAATAGTTGGATGTGAGAACAATTTCAATGAGGTCCACAATACAGGAAGTGCTTGGGGTGCAGCTGGAGCGCTGATTTAAAAAGAATTCTACTGCTTTTAGCCCCCCTTCAAATGGTACGTTGGTGTAAAGAGACTCAATGTCCATAGTCACCAGGAAACAATGTTCATCTGATACCTGGATAGATTGAATCATATTAATGAATTCCATAGAGTCTTTTACATAGGATGGAAGAGAAGTGACGAGTGGTTGGAGAAAATAATCCACAAATGCTGCAATTTTCTCTGTTAGAGACCCAATGGCTGCCACGATGGGTACATTTGTATAGGTTTTATGAATTTTGGGGAGAGTATACAAAACTGGAGTGACAGGAAAGTCTACTACCATAAAAGCATGTTCTGGTTTTGTTATTTCTCCAATTAGTAGGAGGGAATCTAACTTCCTCCTAATACACTGTTTGAACTCCTGTGTGGGATTATGATTGAGTTTCTTATAAAACATCGTGTTGCTCAGCCGTCTCTGAATTTCCCCATCATATGCTGTCCGGTCCATGATGACAATGGCACCACCCTTGTCTGCGCTTTTGTATAAGTACATTTCTGAAATGCTTAACTTAGACAGTTACCTCTGATAACAGAACACTCTAAATTTTAATATGGACTCGTCCACTTTCTGTAAAGCAGCTTTGAATTGATGTGTATTGTGAAAAAAGCTCTACACAAATAAACGTGAATTGAATTGACTTGAAATACAAAATAACATGTAAAAACTTGTTAAAACAGCTCAAAAAGTCTCACATTGAGTGTCTCTGCTGACCTCTTGTGTAAAAAGAAAATAATATAACATGATATTTCAGGACACTTGACACTATGGACTATTAGCTCTATATGGAGCAAATGAACTGTTCCCCTGGGTCCTAAAGTCAGTTTTTCTTCAGTTTTATTTTTCACTATGCGTCCAGGTATATATTTTAGACATTATAAAATATTTTTTGGGTAAAGCTTAAGCATTTTTTATAGGTTTGTATTTATAATGAAGTGTCAGATATTATAATAATTCAAGTTAGTGAGGTGGACAGCAGGGGGATAAAAGTAAAACCTTGAAGAATATTTATTTGAAAAAGCTGATTTTAATTCAGAATTTAACTAAATATAATATAAAATATGTTCTGCATTGTAAATGTGTTCAAATCTAACCACTTCAAATCTGTGTCCAGTCTGCATTGTGACTGATTGATTGATTGATTTTTTGAAATGCCACCCCTATTCATGTTAAATTATTTTGTAAACTGAGTGTTATGTGATAATATCGCTACAGACAATGACTAGTAATTGGATTACGGCTGTCTTAAGAAAGCAATAAGTTATGTACAGATTCTTTCTCTTACAAATATTGAACAAAAACAGTGTCCTCTTACCTTGGTGCAGAAGATATATGCATTTTGTTTTCACATATCAAACACAAAGTGGAAAAACCTCATATTGATTTAGCGTGGCCGGCGGAGATGTCATCTGAATGTTTTTCACTTGTAATGAAATTATCCAGGGCCCTCTTCTTGGCTTATGGCCTCCGTGCTTGTGGATGACCAGACTTTATTAATCTGTCAGAACTCCACATGCAACAATACAGCCTCAAGAATCTCAGGGAGTTCTAGTGAGTCTCTGCTCTACGGGAAAAAGCCCTCTCATACTTATTACAGTGTTCACACAAAGAACATCAATGAGTCACACACTCAGCTCAGGCCAACACCAACACTGCAGTTCTGTGACTCCCATGCATGGAGAGCTACATTTTCACACAAGTAATGTTTTAAAATGTAACATGATGTTTTAATCAGTTCCCTGCAAGTAAAATTGAATTAAAATATTGTTGTTAGAACAGACCATTTTGCAAATAAGGCCTAGGGTTTGTGTACCACTTGCCAGGATGAGGCATATGTCAGGGCTAAATGGACCATTTACTTCAAACAGAATTGCAGGAAAAAAATGAGGGCTATTTTATACTATCTAATGTTTCAGACATATTTGAGTCTTTTAAACCCATCCAACTCTTATAAAAACCAATAATACATTTTGGAAAATCTATTTTAAAATTAATATACTTTTGTACAAAGCCTTTTACCTTTAGGGTCTTTAGTGTTTAAAGGCTGTATGTCTAAACGTCAATTTCCTTCCATTGTAAATGTATGGTGCCATAAGAACGGTTCTGTTGACACAGCAAAGGTATTTAAATTATTTAGAAAATCTCAATCTCTTATTTTGTACATTTCAATCAAAGCTAGAAGTTATAGTTGTTTTTGGAAAAGTAATTACTTGCATGAGTAATTTGTGATAAAATGAGCTTACTTCTGGCAGGCAGTTGGTGAAAATTCAACAAAGGCCTTTTAAAAAAGCTCTCTGATATTTCTTTAGTGACTCCAACTCACCAGCAACATGTAATGCTTTGCTTTCAATTTTACAAAGTCTTGATGTTCAATCAGCAACATTTCATCCATAACTGACTATATTTTTAAATTAGGTTCATTTCAAATCTGATTTTGAAACCATTAGGGAACCGCAATGTTATGTTTGTGTAGAAGCAGGAAACAAGAAGCTCTGAATCACATATTTACACCATACAGTATATATTTCAGACTAAATACAATCCAGCTAAAGTTAGCAAATGATCTGCACAGCAATTCCAGCAATTAAGACCAGTATTACAAAATTCAGAAGACATATGAATATCAAACCTATTTGTGAACCACATGGAGGAACATGCTGAATGAAAAAGTGTCCCACCCGCCTGTGAAAACATTAGATATTCTGTCTCATTAGTCAATAAACATTTGAAAGATCAATTTAAAACATCACAGTAATGTAGGAACATCAGCCTAATATATCCCCATTTTATTCTAGAAAGGGGTTGTGGGATTCAGTCACATTATGCACCTCCTCCTGCCACCAAAAAAGTCCAATATGAACTAATGTGTTGCCACAGGCTACATGAAGTGCTCCCTCTACAGGTCAATAAAATCATCACTGGGAAAATTACCTCATTACAAGGGATTTTTGGATTAAAAGAAAAATGAAATTTAGAACAAACATTTTATATAATATTACCAATTAATGTTGCATATCTATCTTTACTAAGTAGCAGTTGCCAGCAACCAGTCAGCTATCAAATTGATTGTACAATTTAATATAAGTGTAAGCATTGGAATAAATACTAGTGCAAGACCTTAGGCAAAGTCTGGAGATATAGGCTTATATCAACACCTACCCACAGCTACAGATAACAGCATAATACATGAACCGATTATAATGTGCGAGATTAGTCCTCAGAAAAAAAGCATATACTGTTTTTCAACATGAATCCTTAAAAAAACAGCAATCCAGCCAGTATGGAAAACTCAGAGCTCAAAGTGGATCAAATGTCTCTGTACATGTATATAGAGGCACAACTAATAGTGATTTCTCCTCCAGTTTAGTGAGTGCCTCCTCTTCCTCTTTCTGTGGCTCTGCTCTCTTCTCTCGGGCCAGGGAAATCCAGTCACCATGGCTTGTTCCAGCTCCTCGTAATCGTCAATGTCAGAGTCCTCCTCCTCCTGGACAGGGCAGGTCAGATCTGGGAACACCTCCCTCAATTTGGAGGTAAAAAAGGACTGTAGACTGTGGCCTGCCTGAGCCACCTCTGAGTCAGGCTAGAGAGAGAAACAGCTTGGTCAGCATCTACAGTATCTGTCCTCTTAAGATCTAGAGATACCATATGTCTGAGTATACTCCTATACATATTTAATACTATATCAGTCTACATGAACCTGCTAAATGCCAATAAGGTCCTTACGACCTTGATGATACTAAATAATTGCATCAGTATATCTGTCGTAATCAGTATTTTGTCTTGTTTCGCACAATTTTTTTAGAGAATATATTTTTATTATATATTTATTTAGAAAATACATCATTTTATATATATATATATATATATATATATGTTTTTTTGGTTGTTTTTTTTTACATACATATATACAGTAGTGACCAAAAGTGACCAAAACCATTCAGTCTAAGAAAAAAATTACATCTACATGCTTTATTCAAATTTTATTAAAAATTGGTTAAATATTTTCTAAGCGTATTACATAGTTGTGCTTGGAGTCAATTGTTTTGAAAGTGAAAGTAAAGTGACATGTGAAGGCCATAACCCATATTTTGAATTTGTCCCCTGCATTTAACCCATCCAAGTTAGTGCACACATATTAGGAGTAGTGAGCAATGAACACACACACACACACACGGAGCAGTGGGGAGGCATTTTGCTTGTGGCACCCGGGGAGCGATTGGGGGTTAGGTGCCTTGCTTAAAGGCACCTCAGTCATTTCCTGCCCCTAATAAAAGTATTTATTTGTGATAACGCGATGAAACATGCAAAATTGAGAGTAAAATTTTTTTTTGTCCTTCGATCACCCTAATCTTCTCACAAACTACCCCACCCACACCACACCCCCCCACACACTATTGATCTGATCAGTACATCACTATTGCCCACTACTGTAGGTAAATGGATTGAGACGACCCTCCGTAATAGTCATTGGATAATTTGTAATTGGTGTCACTACATGGCCACATTCTTTTGGTAATGTATTGTACAAGAAATAAAGATGGATTTGGAAGATGCCAGAGAGAGGAACTGTAAGCCACTTACAAATTCTTGTGATTTGATGGACAGGATTAGATGAATAAGCTCCTCCCACACTTTCGTTCAGAACTTAATTTATTATACAATGCAAATACACAAAATGAACTCAAATGAGTGTAGCTTTTTTTTAGCTTAATCTATTAAGAATTTAATTTAAACTAAATTAAACAGGATATTAAAAAAGTGATGCATAATCATTACATCAGCACGTGGTTTGAATGTGAATCAGTTATGAAATTAAATATTCAACACTAATGGCTAGAAGGAAGTAGATTAAAAAATAATGCAATTCACTCACGTAGTTGAACTTGGCACAGTTTTTGAACATGAGCAGGACATCAGCCACAAACTCTTGAGGGGAAAGATAGTGTGTGTGGCTGTTTCTGCTGAGCCTGTTCCGGATGACAGACAAATCCATGGGTTTCTTGATGATCTGATAATAATGACGGGCCTATACATAGATAAAGATAAAAAAAAAAAGAACAGATTTAAAGTAATAAAAGTATCATCTACAAATATAAAATCATGAGATATTCATTTTAAAATTACCAGAGGGCTGACAGGCTCATGGAACGGAGCACTGAGAATGTTGCTGAGGATCAGCAGCGTCAACTTCTCGCATTTCTGTGATCAAACAGACAAGTCATCCATCAACAGAGATATTTCACTTGTTAGACAGACTGAGGGGATCTCAGGGAATCTCCTGAGGGAGGAACTTTTTTTGGATTTAGACTCTCAGATTTCTAAGGTCACAGCAGGATTGATCAGAGCTAGGACAGATGAGACCTGGCATCCCCTTCACTTACCTTCTGGTCACACGCCGACAGCCCATATGGCATCGTGCCTGTGGACATCTGGACATTCTCACAGTCATATTCCACCTCTGGTTGCTCCAAGTCCCTGCACAGGGTGCAAATCCAGTCACCTCTATGGAAGCCCGAGATGATAAAGGTTAGTTTCAGTGGTAAGTAAAGACAAAGGCAGATACGTAAAGTAGGAGGGAGAGTGGCTTACATGGGAAAACTATGGAGTGGGGGAACGTGGCATGACAGGTGAAAGACCTTTGGGCAACGGTCACAGCACAGAAGGTCTCCTCCTATGAGACAGACCGCACAGAAGTCCTCGTTCTCTATCTCAGGTCTTTCCTCTGCAGGCTGATGCTCAACAGCAGGTTCTGATACATTCTCAGAGCCAGTGGCAGGTTGGAGAACCGGCGGCTCCGCCTCCCATTCAGACTCAGGTTCAAGATTCACAGTCACTTCGGCTGTGGAATCCGGATCTGATTCAAATTCCTGTTCAGAACCCGAGAGCACTGATTCAGGAGGTTGCTCCGAAATGACATCTGATTCGGATTCGACTTGCAGTTCAGATTCAGCGCTCGGATCTGATTCCTGCAGGAGCTCTGATTCCATATCTGCATCTGAACCTGGTTCAGCCTCTCTTGTGGATTCAGTTTGGAAATCAGAATCTGTAACTGATCTGAGTTCAGATGGGAAGTGTATCTCTTCAGTGTCAGGTTGTAAGACAGGATCTGAATCATTGGAGATGGCTAGTACCCTGGACTCTTGGTTTAGGTTGCAAAACTCTTGCACAGGAGGCTGAGAAACCTCAAGGGAGACAGATGATTCACAACTGTACAGATGTTCTGGTGATAGCTGCTCTGTGGGCGACACGCTGTCCTCTGGCTGAACTGATTCCTTATCCAATGTTCCCTTCAAGGAAATGAAAATTATTAATATGAACTGTGAGATGATATAAACCTTTTAGAGAAACATTTCATCAACATTGAAGTGATACCTGAGAAGTGACCTCTCTTTCTAGCACCCTCAAGACAGTTTCTTCAGGTTTGAGTCCAGACTCTGTCTGACAAGTAATTTCTGTGCTCTGATGGTTCTGTGGTGGATGTCGTGATACCAGGATCTTGAGTCGCTCAAGACACACAACTGGAACCTTAGAACCATCTGGGGCTTCTTTGTCACTGTATCAAACGAAAACACCCAAACATTTCAACCTTTCTAAGACAAATTTGCAATGATACTTATAGGGCTGCATGATTATTAGAAATAAAACCGAAATCGTGAAATGGTTTAGTGCGATTATCAAATTGAGAAGGCTCAAGTCTGTGATTTAATTAAAGGTTAGGGTATAGGATTTGCAAAACGGCCTGCAGATTTTGAAAATACACAACTCAAAAGGTCCTACCTTCTTTCCTCCAACGCTGGCCCTGACTCCACCCATTCGAAGAACATGGACGCGCAATCATGCATCTGCAAAACTCAGATGCGCGAGATTGCACTTATTCTCTCTCTCTCTCTGTACCGGGGCGACTTGCACTTACTGTGACTGGGTCACGAGCTTTGAGTATGCGCACGAAGGGGACACGCGCACGAGGGGGATGGGGGAGGGGGGTATGGTACAAACGTTTGATTGACGCACTTACAGTCCAATGATTCTAGGTGGTCTTGGAAATGATTGGCTGGAGTTTTTCGAGTCCTGCCCGTTCCACAGATGATTAAATTGCTTAATTTTCATTTCAGTGCTTCTAACTCAGTGGCTGTAAGTGGGTTAGGAATAGGATTTCAAGTGATTTTGAAAAAATGGTCAAAAAAGAAGATCACATACCCCACCTTTAAATATATATTGCGTGTTTCTGTGTTATTTTATGACCTGGTGTTTTCAGTGTCTCAGAGCGGCTCAGTTTGCAGTAAATACTGCTCCGCACAAAATAATGCTCTGTGGTTTAACATTTAAAAATCAAGAAATTAAAGCAGCCATAAATATTAATATTGTAATTTTACAGTTGTACAATAAAATATTTGTATTATTATTTTAATTGTATTTTCTTAAATAATCCATTTTTATTTTACAGTGAAATATTGCAATAGTAACATTTCTTATACTGTTTAATATTTTTATTTAGTAATAATATTAATAATTAATATGTTTATTATTTTACATTCATTTGGATAAATAATCAACAAGATCAGCAAACTATGTTTTTGTAATCACATTTTAAATTCCAATTGCAATTTTTATAAGACAAATTGTGCAGCCCCAGTTACATCCAATCAATTATACCTGGTGTCTGGATCCTCTCGAGGCATTCTGCTCTTTCTGGTATTCAGCCTTCTGTTTTCATAGGCATATGCATATACATTATCTGAAACCAGGAAAAAAATATATGTAGATTGATTAATCCACCACAGAATATCTTAATTTATTTATATTGCATGTTAAACATGACAGAAGCTTATTTAGAAATGATAAATGGCCTCTTCACCTGGTTCAGACTTGTAGGTGGTCAGCGTGGACGCATTGTGACTGCTTATACGTCCCGGGATCATCTCAGAATCATCAAAACGTGCACAGACCTGCTGGGATACAGGAAGTAAACAGTAAAATAAAGGTTTTGAAACATTGCCATTCTGTTGACAGGTGATGGATGCAGTGATGTCACACAACATCAGCATACAGACAAAATCAGTGAATATGAATGTGAGCCAACAGTGAACTTGTTAAACCGAATACAATCAGTTATGTGGGCTGCTGCATCTAATTTGTTCTCAAACAGAAATAGGTTAAAGGAACTGTTTCCTAGACAACAGTTCTTTCTTTTGATGTACATCATCTGTATTATTCCTTAAAAGGCAAGTAATAGATGTGTGTGCACTGGAACAAAGGTGTTTTGGACTGTATGACAAAGACTGGATGTTTGAAATGGACTTAAAAAGGAATTATGATGAAAAGCACTTCAGGACAAGAGTATTTCATCAATGTCAATTACTATTAATAAAGTGAATTATTCACAGTCTACTATTCTTACTAGGGATGCACCGAAATTTCGGCCGCTGAAAATGGAATTTTCGGTTTTTGGCCGAAAGAGAAAAAGGCTGAAAATATTAACCGAAAATATATGCCGCCCCTCAGAAGTTTTTTGTAACTTTGTGAGCCTTTGTAACCTTTGCAAGTAACTTTGTAACCTTCTAAAGATGCACAACTTCGAAGTGACTGACCGAGCAGGTAGGCCTAACAGTGCGTGTCCACTGGGGCGAAGCGAGCGGTGGACACGCACTGTTAGGCCTACCTGCTCTGTAGCACAAATCGTCAGAACACCGGCACCCAGTCTGCTCAATGTTCCACTCTGTGTGTGTGTGCACTCTCTGCTCAGTCGCTCACGGCCCAAGCGAATGCTCTACCGGAAAAGCAAAGTAAACTTGTTTCTGTTTGCAATAGCCCCTATACTGTGCTGTAACATGGTGTGTATGGCCGTGCTGGGCAACGCTGGTAAAATGACACTACGCTCTGATCACATGCTCAGATAATAATAGCTTTGTAGGACTATAGGCTACTTTACATTGATAATTGGTCAAAAAATAAATCAGATTCTGTTGCATAGAACTGAATGAAGAATAACATATTGATATTTAATATTATTTTAATATATTTACTGTCCAATTTTGGTGTGTTACTTTAAATAAAAGTGTGGTTATTTTATTTTATTGGCTTATATTTTAAATTCAAATTCAATTTAATTATTGAATTTAATTAAAAAGTCTAATATTAACACAATACAAAAAACTAATTTATAAATGAATAATTATTAAGGAAAAGTCATTTTTGGTTTCGGTTTTCGTCCAAGTGCATCCAGAATGTTCAGTTTCAGCCCAGAATTTTCATTCCTAATTCTTACCCTTTAGACTAGAGTATACAGGTAATGTTAAACATGGACGCTACAGGCCTTTTTAGAAATGTATTTTTAAGAAGGTATTTCAGAACCTCAAGAAACAATGCTGAGCTCTGGGACAAAACCCACTAATGAAGTGGTTCTCAACCTTTTTGACTCCAAGGCAAGTAATAGATCTGTGTGCACTGGAACAAAACCACACTGGAACCACTGTGTCCATTGGTTTTTTAATTTATTTAATTTTTAATTTATTTTTTTACATTTATGGCAATTAGGAGTGTACATAGAATAAAAAATACATCTTTTTTTGTTGTTACTTGTTTTAGCTTATTTTAAAACATTTTAAATCATCATCTTGAGTCCATCTAAGTTTGCTGAGGCCCCCTACCACTGCACTAATATCTAAATGTCTCTGTCTCGCCACGTAGAAAGTTTACCTGCTGCGTTGTGCATCCCTGGTCCCCAGCCACTGTTGCCAGGCTGTGAGCAGCCCTGGCCGGCCTGTCTTTACAGAGCCTTTTACGAGGTCCTCGGGGTCCTACCGCAGTGCTCTGAGACCGGGTCGCCCTCTTCGAACCAGAGCAGCTTCGACGGTCACCTCCCCGGCCTTGAGCCAGCGCGTACATCTCTAGCGCTGAGGATCTCTACAGAGGAGAGCCAAACTCTCATTAGCGCAGCACTAGGCTAAAAGTGATCTCGACAGCGTATGCAGCACACTACAACCATAGCAACAGTGTCAACAGATGACAGGGAGGTAAGGAACAACAACCTTGAGTGTGACAATGCACAGTAGCTTGGAGCAAAAGGAAGAACAATAACAAGCCCACATCTATCAAATGGAGAGAAAAGTACAAAATAATTCTCCTGATAATATATGACTTAGTTACAGCACCAATTATCGTATGTAAATCCCACATCTGGGGCACGAAAAGGCTTCTTTGAATAAGCAGCATTAACACATCAGAGATTAGACTTCCTCTCCTCCACGGCCCTCTTCTTCTCTTGTCATAATTTCACTAATGCGCAAAGTTCTAGAAAAGCCCAAGCGACTGCATCCTTCGCTAACACGACAAATGTCAGAGTCGGAGGCAGCAGCCCGTGCTCTCGACGAAGCCCCTCCTCCAGCTGTCTCTTAGCCCTCTCTTGGTTTTTTCTTCCTCGTCTTTCTGTAATAATTACCTCAGGATTAAAAACACTCACCTGATAGAAGCCGAGGAGGAGAGGGTGGAATGAATCAAGCTGTGGAGTGTCTTGCAAGCATGTGTGGGTGCAGAGAGAAGGTAGGAGGTCTCAGAGACTTTAAAGGTAATCGTGTGGGCTCTACAGCGAGATGAAGAAAAATGCAACAGCCGGCTCCTTCAATTCCCCTAGCTTCTCATTAATGCCAGGTTAAGTAAATATGTGGTTGCACCCAAGCGCTTTTCCCCTCCCTTTAATCATGTCACAGTTATGGGCTGAAGATGATACATAAAAAAATAAATATTACACTAATTTGCCTCTGGAGTGGCAAATCTTACAGGGAAACTGATTTTGATTGGTGTTTGTCCTAGGAAAATGTATCAAAATACTGACATCAAGAGATCTAATAATAACTTCTATAGCCTGATTTGGTTCTCATCCAATACAGCTCGAGGAGCGGTTGCTGAGCAGAGTGAGTCTGGATGTGTGTGCGCTATTGTGTGGTCTTAATTGTTTTTGAGCTCACACCACCACAGTTGTCCTCACTTATGTCTCACCATCTGCTTGCAGAGGTGCTATCTGCAGCAGCCAAGATGAAAACATTACAGCTGCATAAATAGAAATGATACTGCCAGGAATGATTCGATTTCCTCTTTTTAAATTGAGTGGTGGAGCCCATTGCGATGTCGGCTTCTCTGTTCTCATGCTGTCACCCACACCAAATACACTTAAAGCAGAAGCACAGCAAAACACTGTTTGAGTTGAAATAGCAAACTATGTATAGACTATATATACAAACAAACAAACTATATACAATACAGTAATTCAATATATATATATATATATAAAATCATCGGTTTCATTTTATTTTGATGGTCCCTTTAACGCATTCTGTTGACTATAAGTAAAGTTGCACCTACATGGTTACTAACTCTCATTAGAGTGAAAGTAGAGAATTAGTAGACTGCAACTACATGTCAACTTATTCTAACCCTAACCCAACCAAAGTTACTTATAGTCAGTAGAATGTCTGTTGGAGGATACATAAAAATGTATATTCATAAAATGTATAAAAATGGTTTTCCAAGACAGTGGTAACCCTGGTTCTTTAAATGAATAGTAATGAAGAAATATCTGTTGTGTTTAGGAGTTTTTAATTTAATCGCTTACTTTAATGCTTGTTTTTTCTTCATTTGAATAATTTTAAGTCATCTTGAGGCCACCTTAGAAGTTGAACCCCTGAGCTTAGAACCACTGTCATAGAAGAGATTGCATGGAATATATGTAAAGGACAATTGAAATGAGCTGTATAAATTGTAAAACATGATTAATAATAGTAAAAAGAAAAAGGTGGCCCCTCAGTGACATCACCTAAAATGTATACTTTCCATTCATTCATTCATATAAATTTGAACCTAAAATAAATCAACTATCACAAGTCATTATACTGTAAGGACCCCACACTGCAGCCCTCTTCAATGCCTCAGCACATTTGCAGTGCTGCTCAATGGTCTTTCATCTGCTAGGACTTGTGGTGTGGACCAGTAAACACCATGCAACCTTTGCAAGCACTAAAGAGCGCCAGGCCTGAGGATTGTGGTCAGTGTTGAACACACCAAGAGCAAAGGTATTGCTTTTGCAAAGTACAAATAAACCCAGACACATTAATGAAACTCACCCTGTCATCATCGATGCGAGCAACGACAGGCTGCAGTTCAACCATGGGTTGGTTGCTGGTTTCTGTGGTCGTCTGCACTCGAGCCTGGTTGTGGACCTGTGGGAGCTCTCTGTCTGGTGATGCCTCTTGCCTTGTGTCTGCTTCAGGTGCACATGTTTGCCCTCTTCCGTTAGGAGACTGGTCTGGTGCACAGTTTCTCCCATCCATGACAGTCTGGTTGGAATTAGCAGGGAGCGCCTCGGGCAGCGGGTGGTCGTTGGATCCGACAGGCTGCCGAGGCAAAGCAGAGCTGGATTCATGCTGGACGAGGTCAGATCCAGGGTGAGAGGTGGACTGCTGTATAGGCTGAGCACCAGTTGGATGCATGGGGACAGATGCATCAGACTCCCAACAGCTGTGAAGGGACGGTGGGGAGCTCCGCCTGGTGGCTTGAGGACACGGGGCAGGGAATTTATCCAAAGGGACGGATTGAGTAGGTCTGCAGTGAAGGCAGCAGAGCTGGGGCTGGCAGAAGGTCTGGCAGGCACAGCCAGGTTCCCGCACCGCATGGCACAGTGGAGGCATTGCTATGCATGGGACAGGCTGGGGTCGCAGGATACTGGGATGACCCACAACCTCTGAGTATGAACGACTTCCACCTTCAACGACCAGCTGACCTAAAGCAAGGAGGAATCATTACAATGATTGTACGGCAATAGATACAGTATTCCTCAGGCATTTGATCTTTCTTCTCCACCAGTGTTAATCTTGTATTACTGACAAAAGCGTTAATATTTATATACAATTTAAATATCAAATTATTATCAATGATAACAAAGACTAAATGAAAAATGCACATCATGATGCTAATTGTTTAAAATGATTACGTTTTTTATCATTATTTATTATTATAATTAAAACATACTATTGATGAATATATGATACATTTAAGTCTGTATAACTTTGCACTCTCATCAACTAAAATGTTATTTTTGATGAGTGAAATTAAATGTAACTGTGGTAAAATTGTTATGTACATCTAACAATGTCCATTTGACATTGTTAGAATGTTCTCCATTCCAAATGAATGAAAGTGATGATGTCATAAATCATGGTATCTGCATACTGCATTGTGATAGGCCTTTTCAGTTTACCTAAAGTGGACATCTGCTTGGTCCAGAAGCTGGCATCCCAGTTAAACTTGATTTTCAATGGGGTCCAAGCCTCTGAGAGCATCAGTGGCTCCAGTAATTGCTGCATCTGAAGAGCAATCTGACAAATGAATTATAGATCAAACCTCATGATTACAGAGACACTGAGTTATAAATATTGCATGCAATTCTGGCAATGAAACTGAAACTCTTTCTGCACTGTCTCTATTTTTAAGTTGGTGAGAGCATGATTAAGGCTAACTCTAATAAAAGAGATCTAAATGCAGCAGCAAAAAGAGGTGAGGCTGCTTTAAACTAATAGCGCTGGCATCTTTTTGAGACCTGCCAGAAACATAGCAGGCAGCTGCCAGGAATCTTAACATCTAAAGCCCACTTGGACGTTGAGAAAATCCTACCAGCTCTTTGCTGAATAGCAGCGGATTGCGTCTGTGGTGGGCCGTGGCCCAGGTAAAGAAGTTCTGCACATGCTCCAGCTGGCTGCACAGTTCTATGGCCCCCTGCAGCTGGTCCTCCAGACGTTGCTTGAAATCACTGGATATACTCTGCACCGGAAGACAACGACAAAAACATGGATCCCCTCATCACTTTTCCCAAGATCCCCATCTGTTTGGATATGTCACTACTTGGCGGAATCTGCCTATTTTGCATGATTCGCTCTGAAGACGTTCTGTTCCGCACGCTCCATCACCAGTACATCCACAGTCAGCTGGATGTTTGGAGATGAATACGTTTGGAAAGACGGAGAGGGAAACGAGGGGAAAAAGTAATTACCTCCAGTTGTTCTATTAATAGGTTGGCCCGTTTGTTAAGCTCGTTCATCATAATCATCTTTGCCATTTTTATCTGGTTCTCTGCCTTCCTCTGCGTGATCTTTATACCGTGGAGCCTGGACAAACGGAAAGAAAAATGAACAGGGAGATGGCTAAGGGAGGATAAACAAACCGATATGGCCAGTACATCTGGATGCTTGAACATCTGCTGAAATCATTCAAAGGAAGTAATGGATCTTGTTAATGTCATTATGCTTCATTTAATCTATGCTTGTCTGTTCAGATGAGTAATGGACACGCTTTGCTTAACTAGCATTAACGCTAACATTAGCAGCATCAAGGAGGTGGAATAGATGAGGTATCGCCCCACCTGCCCTGGATCTGTTTGGCGGTGCTCTCCACAGTGGATCTTTTCTCCTCCACTCGGGCCATGAGGTTCTGCAGGAGCCAGCGCTGGTCTTGCAGAGCTTTCCCAACATGCACCAGCCTAAAGACAAGAAACCAACAGCAAGTAAAACACCTTTGACTTTTAAAGTTTACACACAACATGCTCGATAGCATATAGTTGTTGATACGTGAGAAAGAGGCCATCTGTTCCGTCTGCATCTTTGTGCATGTGTTTAGAAAGACGTATGAGAGAGAGAGAGAGAGCTTGCATGTGTACAAGTGCATCGTGAACGTAGGCATGCATGTCAGTGGGTATTTGTCCTCTACGCATACCGGTGGTCTTTGTGGGCGGACAGGTGACAGATGCTGCAGGCCATGAGGTCGCACGTTTCACACAGGAGTTCCAGAGGCTCCTGTTTATGGAGAGGACACATGACAACAGCATGCCCGCAGCAACCGGCTCCTGAGACACGCAACACAACAGAGAAGAGGGAATGAGAGCGAATTAGATGATGCCCATTAAGACCACATTATCTGTAATCAAGAATCACAAATCAAAAAGAAATATTACAAACGTGCGATTGAAAAATGCAGGAAAACAAATGTGTTAATATAAGCATGTGGAATCTCTTAGAGGTTTAATGGGGTTTTAAGTATGTTCAAATCATTTTGACCAATGCAGAGCGAAAGACCTTGTTGGTCTGTGAGTCACTCTCTGTGCTAGCTTCATTTATTTTTAGTGGAAAAACAAAGCGCTTATAAATATTTCTGGACGTATAAATGCATCTTTTTTCCAGCAAAAGAAAAAAACAGATAAAAATGGAACACAGCAGAGCTTTGATCAATCAGTTAATGTCTCATTAAAAGCCCTGCCAATACGAGGAATGTAACTCTACATGTGCTTTTGAAGAGCCAAATAAAGTAACAGACACTGCTATCACGTGTACCTTCAGAATGGCCCACATTTCTGACACAAACCCAGCACTGGACATTTAAAAACCATCAGATCAGAATGCTACATGGCATGCTCATATAAACTACATACACAGACAGGTTTGAATTTTTTGAATTTTATTCTATTTTTAAATAATTTGAACAATTTAGTTGCATTCGAAGAACCAAATAAAGAAGAGATAGCCTACTGTTTTCACGTGTGCCTTTAGAATGGCCCACATTTCTGAAATACATCCAGCACTGGACACTGGACAAACTACCCAGCTAACTAAAAGATGTTCTAAGAACATTTTGCTGACATTCCCATTCAGTTGTAAGAACGTTATAGACAGGGCTTAGACCATTTTATTTTATTTTATTTTATTATTTTGTTTTTCCAATAAAACTAAAATAAATTCTTTCTCTTTTTTTACTTAAATTACTATACATTTATATATTTATTTTAAAAATACAGTACTGGTCAAAAGTTTGGAAACATTACTTGTTTTTGAAAAAAGTTCAATGTTCATCAAGAAGATTCTTATGCTCATCAAGGCTTTGGATAAAATGTATTTATTTGATCAAAAATACAGAAAAAACTGTGATATTGTGAAATATTATTCAAATAATTCAAATTAAAATAATATTAAAATAACATACAATTAAATTAATATTAATATTAATTTTATTAAAACAATTCAAAATAATGGTTTTCTATTTTAATATACTTTAAAATATAATTTGTTTCTTTGATCAAAGCTGAATTTCTATCATCCATTACTCCAGTCTTCAGTGTGACTTGATCCTTCAGAAATCATTCTAATATGCTGATTTGATACTCAGTTATTATCAATGTTGGAAACTGCTTAATATTTTTGGGGGAACCTGTGATACTTTTTTGCAGGATTTATTGATGAATAAAAAGTTTCTAAAAAAGCACTTTTCTAACAATATACATTTTTACTATCATCTTTTATCAATTTAACATCCTTGCTAAATAATAGTATTAATTTCTTTCAAAAAAGAAGGAAAAAATGACTGACCCCAAACTTTTGGACAGTAGTGTATATTGTTACAAAAGATTTCTATTTTAAATATATGCTGTTCTTTTTTAACTTTTTATTTATCAAAGAATCCAGAAAAAGTATCATATGTTATAAACTTAAAAATTAAAAATAATTAAAAAGAATCATATGTTATTATAACTTGAGCAGTATAACTGTTTCCAACATGATAATAAATCAGCATATTAGAATGATTTCTGAAGGATCATGTGACACTGAAGACTGGAGTAATGAGTGATGAAAATTCAGCTTTGCTCATATCATAGAAATAAATTATATTTGAAAGTATAATTGTAATATTTCACAGTATTACAGTTTTTTCTGTATTTTTGATCAAATAAATGCAGGCTTGATGAGCATAAGAGACTTCTTTAAAAATAAACATTAAAAATAATAATGTTTCCAATAATGTTTTTATTGTTCAAATATAAACTAGATGCACCTGCTTTTTTCAGCTCTGCACATAAAACCACAAAACTCTACCAAAGATGTCTATCCAGAAATGAGTTTGTTTGAATACACACATCTACTTGAACCTGGGCTGAAGCAAACGGCATAAACAAATAAATCAAACATTCTCATTTCCGTTCCATTATTATACCAAAAAATCCAACTCTTAATAAAACATGATCATTTTAACAGTCCCTTTGCATATGAAATTCTGCAACCAGAGAGTTAGTCAGGCAGAATGCAGAACTCCATTAGAAATGAAGGACCTCGGTGACAGCACCTGTCACACTGGATCTACAGTCTGTCCATCAGAAGCGCCGGCTGGCTGATGCTGTGACAGTATAGGGTAGACAGAGACACGCTGACACATTGCACAGTGAGAGAGGGTGTTAAAGTATGAGACCACAGGCTCCAACACTGAAGAGCTCCCACTGCCTCAGTGCATACTGGTGACCGACCACATCCTGCTTCACACCCGCACTTCTGTTTCTCTCACACTCTACCTCTCTCTCATCTTTCTTTTCTGTCATTCTTTTTGTCACTTTATCACTCCTTCTCTTGTTTTTTGTGAGGACTTGTGGTCTCACTATCTTATGTTTAATGGATTTCAGAGCGTCTCACGAAAAAGCTCAGGAGTATCGATGAAAGGAAGCTAGTATAGGACAAGCTGGCCAAATTTGTGCTGCGTTTTCTGAGAGAGAATCAGTTTTAGAAACTAGGTCACATAAAAAATACACCACTACAATACATCACATGCAGGATAATTATTCACACTTATTACAAAATGCATTATTCATTGAGTTAAAGAAGAGGGGTTAGAAAAATATGCTGCAGAGCTGATAATGTCCGGTGGCTAAGAGCAGAAATGTGCAAGCAAACAGCCAACCGAAGCTAAAAGAGGAAAGTAATTACAGATCGGCAAAAGAGAGACGTCTTGCCTATTTCAGACGGTGACGGAGGGTCTCGTGGCTGGTGCTGCAGATCAGAGGGTTGAGTGGAGACTCTCTCATGCTGGTGCAGGTCTGTGCACTGGAAGCACAGCCACTTGTTGCAGAAGGTACACAAGCTCTGTGCCATCCGGGGCTCTGAACACTCGGAACAGCACTGAAGCACAAGCAGATACATTTCATTCTTTTGCATTCCGATAGAATGAGATTTTCTGACACATCTGTCAGACTCAAGTCTTGATCTAGCCAGTAGTAGCTAAAGTAGCATCTGTAAATATCTCAAGTAGCACTTTAAAATATCAAAAGAAGTGTTTTTTTGTTGTTGTTCATACAGTTAGTCAATATTGTTTCAACCCCATTGACTTTCAAAATATCTTCTTTTGTGCTCTACAGAAGAAAGAAAGTCATGTAGGTTTGATTTTTTGGGTGAATTGTCACTTTAAAATATTGGATATGTCTACTGGGACTTAATATTTATAAACCAAGCATTGTTGTCATGAAAAACAACATAAAGCATTCATTCTGTAACCCACACTTTAATGAGAGCAAAGCTGCCCGTTTCAAAGGATGCCAAAAATATTCACATTTACATTCCGCAGTATTCCCAAAAAGCACACCCAGCGAAACAATCACACATTATGCGACATCTGTGTGTCACAAGAAGCCGCAGTTTGCTGGTTACCTCAGTGTCAAAGCAAAGGCAATTCAAATGTTGCATTATCAAAGTCTCCAAATCTCCCTGAAAATGCAAAGCATGACCGCCTTACCTTCTCCATGGTGGTGGCGGGATCCAGGTTCCTCGTGAGAGCGTGAGAAAGATTGCGATATCCAGCCGAGCAGCTCTCGCAGCAGTGAGGCAAGGACACGGCAAGCCTCTGACACAGCTAGAGCTCCACACCACACTGTCACAGCTCTACCTGCGGCAGGAAGTAGTGCACACTGCACACTTTAACCCCAGTGGAGTAGACTCCTGAGCGCTCCTCCTCGTGTGCCCTCAGCCGTGGCCGGTGCGTAGCTCTCCTCATTGGCTTCCTGCAGCAGCTCGAATCCCGAATCCTTCCCTCTGACAGCCACCATGATCTTTCTTCTTAAATAAGCCTGTTCATAATAATTGGGAATTAGGGAGGGCTGATAATTATTTTTTTTCTGGGACAAAATATCCCCGGCAGCCCTTGTTGCCAAAAATGGAAGGGGAGAGGTGCCAGATGACCTACAATATTTAAGAGAATTGCACGCGAAGGGTGTGAGATGGATCGGGGATGAGGGAACACACGTTGGTGCCCTCCTTCCTCACTTCCTTAGATCAGCACTAGTAAGGGACAGGTCCCTCCGGACAGGACCCGCTCCCACGTAACACGCTGAAACCGGGTCAGCCTTCTCCAGGAGAAGATGGGAATTGAGATGTGCTCGCACAATGCCCCGCAAAGCGTGAAATCAATTATGATCGTATCACACTTCATCTTCTCGAAAGAATTTTGAGGCATGACTTCTTCAAAATCTTTCACAGGTAGGAGATGTTCAACAACCAATGCATAAAGTGGAAAAAGGCAGATGGGCGGGCGGGCAAAAAGGGGATTGGCGTAAACTAATGAAACCGTACGTAACCCAAACTGACATCGGTGTCGTGCAGATCCCCACTAAGAAACCACCGTGAGTCTGCCTGACAACAACCCCTGCAGCCTGACCTACAAATCTGACAACTCTCTCTTCCTCTAGAGCTGCTCATGGGAGCTTAAAACCATCCGATTCCCCATTGTGTACCCACAGACCCACTTTAAAACACAATTAGTCTACCCAGCCAGTCTTTCTCTTGTTCTTCGGGCAGACAGGCGTGCCTGCGTCTCCCGTCTTGCCTTCCGTGCCACTCCATTTGGCTTTTAAAACAAAAAGCTCTCTCTCTCTCTCTCTCTCTCTCTCTCTCTCTCTCTCTCTCTCTCTCTCTCTCTCTCTCTCTCTCTCCTCTCTCTCTCTCTCTCTCTCT